CATGATAAAATAGTTAGTACGATGGAGACTCGGTGGACTGCGATGCGTAGCCTAAGTTGCAGCTCATATAAAGTCTCCTCAACAGATGCGCCTGCGCGCCAAGATGATCTCCAAATGAACCTGTCAGACCCTACACATTTAGTGCAGAAGTGCAGCATGATTACGTAAATCAACGCGTACCTAATAAGTATCTAGCCTAACCCCGGAGAAATAGTGACGAGGAGCCGATATCGACACTTACTAGAGGTCCAAATAAATAATTTAATAATTCATAACAGATGTGAAGTGCACAACAATAGTGGAGTAAGTTTGTACTTTCATAATTTTTCCTAATTATTTCCTTTAAAGTAAAAATTTCTCGATCTTGTATTTTACCTTAATAGTTCAGAAAATGCCAAGTGTCAATACCAAATAAGTGGAGAATACCATAAAATGCCAAGCATCAATGGAAGGTTTATCTCGTGAACATTCGGACTACTAGCGATATAACACACGATTCCGCCGCGGTCGTTCGGCCCGATCCATAAGAAAAGGAAGGAAGTTACCGCATTACGAGGCACGCATTAACAATACAACACATGAGCATAAAATGTATTTAAGTTTTACCATTTCTTAAATAACTCGCCCACAACTCTAAGTGTTAAGGCTTAGCCTAGTATACATATATTTACTTCTAAATCAATTTCAATTATAACTTCAATTAATTAAGTGAGCGGAATGGGTTCAAATAATTCAAATATTACATGATAAGATCCTAAGTCTACCCGGACATAAAATGTTGTAGCTACGTACGAACTCTCGTCACCTCGTGCGTAGGTAACACCCACAAGTAGTTGCACATAACAATGAATATCACCTAGGGGTAGTTTTCCCCTCACAAGGTTAGACACGAGACTTACCTCGCTCCGAAGTTCCATAACAGGCTCCAACGCCACTCAAACCCCTCAACCTGATGCTCGTCTCTTCAAAACTAGCCAAGGAACGTGCAAACCAATCAAAATATACTCTAATAACCATGATTAATCAATTCATAACAATTTCCAACTCCGCTCTAAAAGCCAATAAAGTCGACCTTCGGGCCCACACGTCCGAATTTCGGAAATGTTCGAAGGTAAACTCTACCCATAACACTATGGACTCGAATATATAATTTATTCCTAATTCCATGACCAATTTTGCGGTCAAATTTCAAAAATACCAAATTCTAATTTTTCTACAAAAAATCCTAGATTTTTATTAATTTTCATGTTTAAATCCACATACAAATATTGTATTTAACTTGTAATAGGTAGGAATCACTTACCTTGTATTGTTTGATGAAAATCTCCCATTGAATCTCTCCAAAATCGCCCCAACCAAGTAAAAATGAAAGAAAATGGGCCAAATCCCATTTTTATAAAAACCTCACTGCCCAACGACATTTTGCATTTGCGGAACATGAGCCGCTTCTGCGGCTCTCTCTTGGCCTCTCAATCTCCGCATCTGCGGCCCCTCATGCACAGATGCGGTGCCGCTTCTGCGGAACTCGACCGCATCTGCGGTGCCAGCCTTCCCCAGCCACTCCGCTTCTGTGCTCAAGGACACCGCATCTGCGCCATCGCAGATGCAGAAATGGTCTCGCGCCTGCGCCACTGCCCAGAACCGCTCCTGCGACCTGCTTGTCCGCTTCTGCGGCTCCGCACCTGCGGCCAAAACCTCACAGGTGCGGTTACACCGGATGCCAGCTGCTTCAGCATTTCCCCCAGCCCAAACTCGATCCGTTTTCAATCCGATTCTCACCCGAGGCCCCGGGGACCCCATCCAAACATACCAACACATCCCAAAATACAATACGAACTAAGTCAAAACCTTAAGCCACGTCAAGCAATATCAAAATCATAAATCGCGTCTCGAATCAAACTTATAAATTTTCAAAATTTTAAATTCTATATCTTGTGCCGAAACGTATCATATTAATCCGGAATGTGTTCAAATTTCGCACCCGAGTCATAAATAACATAACGAAACTATTCCAAGGCTCGGAACCCCAAACGGACATTGGTAACATAAAAATCCACTTCAAACTAAAATTATGAAATTCTTAAACCTTTAAAATGCCAGCCTTCCATAATATGCGCCGAAATGCTCCCGGGCCACCTGATACTCGACCCGGACATACACCCAAGTCCGGAATCATCATACGAACTTATTGAAACCTTCAAATCCAGATTCCCAGGCCGTTTACCCAAAAGTCAAATCTTAGAAAATTCTTCAAATTTAAAGCTTCCGAAATTAGAATTTTCTTCCCAAATCAACTCCGAACTTCCCGAAATTCAATTCCGACCACACGTACGAGTCATAATACATGAAGTGAAGCTACTCAAGGACTCAAACCGCTGAACGACGTGCTAGATCTCAAAACGACCGGTCGGATCGTTACAAATAAATTAAATATTTTCGAGACAAAAACTACTATATACCTTATTATATTTATTTAACTTCTTTATCTGCTTGAAAATTAATGGGATTACAACTTTCTTGATATTATATTAGTAAAAAAACCCTTGTTCTTAGATATGCAAGCACCAATACATAGCGGAAAAGATGGTGAATGTTATTCTCAACTTATCTCAACAACACGTAAGAATAATTTGAAAGTCAAGTTTTATATACCTCTCTTATATTTATTTATTTATTTATTTATTTTTGTGTCTTTTTCAAGAAGATAGCTTGATGCTTTTAATGGGCATGGTAAACGTGTATAATGCTTAGGGAAATTAACGTTCGTTTCACGAGAGTTTAGCTTTTGCAAAGCACGAGGTTATAGTAAACACAGGTCGGTTTACTGGTTAATGGACCCTAAATTATATTTTATCGGTACTGTTGTGCCACAATATTAAAATCGTCAAAGTTCAATAGTTTGCAAACCACATATGACATATAACGAATTCTGACCGAGAAAGCGACTGATGAAGCAAATCACTCCCAGTTTTCCACATGAAAATAGCTCGCCCAACCAACACTTCAAAAGTAAAAGTAAAAGTTGATTTTAAAAAAGAAAGATACGATTTTAAAATCTTATAGACATATATTATGGACAGAAAGTAAAGAGAAGGTTGGTGCGTGGGGGTTGGAGAAAAAAGTTGTGAAGTAAAAGAACTATAAAAATAAGTGAAAGGGGTTGGGTTAAGTGTTACGCAAGCACGCACTTTGACGTCCAAACGACTAGAAGTACTACATTAATATAGAATAATATCTTTTTTGGCAAAACAATAAAATTATATAGGAGGAGATTTATTAATGTAAATAGCAAGTGTCGGTGGAAGGAAAGAAGACATCTTTTGTCGAAATCCAAGAGCAGCTTCCTCATTCCTGTGACTAAATTTAGATAGTTGGATTCACATGTCGGTAGAAGGAAGGAAAAAAAGAGATAAAAATAATTCTACCATAAGTCTTTTTACGAGGAAAACATTTCTTATTAAAATTTTTAAATATGTCTGTGCCTGACTCAGATTATATACACACATAATAGAGCTAATAGGAAGGAGAGCCTTGAAGTAATAGAAAAATTATCTCCGTGTGATCTGTATGTCACGAGTTCGAACCATGAAAGTAATCGGTAATACTTGTATTTAGAATAGACTATCTACGTCATAGCTCTGAGAATACGGTCCTTCTTTGAGTGAATGCAAAATGCATCGCACACCGAACTGTCCTATATTATAGTAAAGTTAATAGAGCCCTTATAGTATATGTGATCTCCCCAAAAATCGAAATATTTTTCGGAATTTTTTATTTTTTTCGGAATAAGTGTTGATTTTATATTTTAATAAAAAAAAATTTGAAAAATATTTTTTCCGAAAAAATAATTTTGCCATGCTGGATTGCTCAGGTGGATCACCATGTAAGCAAATCTAATCTAATTGGACTGCCATGTCACCTTTAATGACAAAACTAACGATTTAAGGGCATTTGTGATCTAAAACATAGACGATAGAGATATTTTTGGTATCAAAAATAAATAAATAATATTTTTAAACTGTTTCAAATAGTTCAAGGATATTTTTGACCCTTTTCGAAGAATATATTGGCACATATATAGATTTTACTCACTTTGTTCTAAGGGACATAGACAATATCGTCAGATAGGTCGGCATATATATGACAATAAAATAGGATTCTCTAGCTACTTCGTCCTTTTGCACCAGCATGTGAATGTTTCATGTAAACAGCCTATTTTAAGATTGGGTGGGGTGGGGAAAGAAAACAAAGGAGAATATAACGTTAACATAAATAAATTCAGTAAAATTTGAGTTCGGTCGGAATAGAGCAGTGTATATGTAATCCTTATTTCTGTCTTAAAAAAGTACATAAATTATTTTCGGAAGACGAATAGAAAAGAAGAACAAAACAAACAAAAAAAAGGATAATATGTTCTCTCTCATTTTTATTCAAGTTAATTCAATCATGCACACCATTACCAATAAACATTTCTTTAATACTTGTATTTAAGACATGAAGGCCATAATCCACAGTGTGTACCTATTCTTTCCGAATTTATTTTTCTACCAAGTCATTTTGAAAACCAAAATATCATTTCTCTCCATATTTATCACTTTTTTTTAAAAAGAAAATAATTATATAGATGAATATTTATTAATACAATTCTGTTTGTTCCGTTGACTGAATTTTTTACTGTGATTCGAGGGTTTAAACAGCGTTTTTTTCGAACACAGAATGCTGATGATTTTCTTAGGATGTATTTGATATCCGCAAAAAAAAAACGTTTATAAATCACTTCAATGGCTTTAAGAAAGATAACATTTTAATTTTTTGATCTTTTTATAAATATTTTATGAATTTATAAAATTTCGAGATACATTCACCACAATTTAACCATTTTTCACTTTTTCTCACTCATTCACAGCTTCCGAGGAGGTGCTAAAAGAATAAAGAAAAATAAAAAAAGAAACAGACATATTACATAAAATAAACCAAACAAAATTAAAAGACTATCATTTTAGAAACAGGGAAAAAGGAGCAAAATAAAGTCCCTTCTCCCTCTATGTTAGGATTCCATTGTTTTCACAACTTTCCTATTCCACCAAACACAATTTCTTCAGCTAAAAGCCTGTAATCCCATTACTCCTTCAATAAACAGTAAACCCCACAACCAAAAATACTCATTATTACAATCTTGAATCATTAGACTAAGCATACAAAAAAGTTGAAAAAAAGGAGGAAATATGGAAGTAGACAATAGAAGAAAGAGCACATCATCAAGAAATAATGGTAGTGTTGTGGCATCAGGTTCTGTTTGGGAAAACAGAATGAAACTTGATGAAGTAAAAGGTGGAATTAAAGTACTTATTAGTAACAGTTCTGAAGAAACCCCAGATGAAAATGATGATAAAAATTGCACCTTTTTTACTCAAGTGGATAAAAAGTTGGAAATAGAGCCAAAAAAATGCAATCTTGGTGTTGTTGGGGTTATGAGTGGGAAGAGAAAAACTTGGAAAGCTGAAAACTTTGAAGGAAACCCAATTCAGATTGCTAGTAAAAGACCTGATTTGAGCAAAAAATTGGATGAAAAGTGTCAAGATTTGAGCAAAATCCCAAGTCAGAGCATGAAAAAATCTGAGTCTCTTAATGGGAAAGCAAAAGTAGTATCAAGTAAGGAACTTGATGAGGAAAGCAAGCATCTTCATTTTAAAATCTTGAAAAAATCCAATCTTGAGGAGTCGAGTAAGAATATTGAAGGATCAATTAAGGAAAACGAGAACAAACCAAGTGGGATTAAGAAGACAAAATCTGAGGAAAATTGTGAAGAGAAATTCATCACAAGCAATGCGGTGAACTTGAATTATGGTGAGGAGGTTTCGTCCGCTATTTTGGACAGACAGGTTCGGAAGTTAAGGTCGAAGGAGATCACTTCTGAGGCTAAATTTGCAACTAAAGTAGATAAAAATCTTGAAAATGAAGAGGAAGAAGAAGAAGAAGAAGAATGGGATGAGGTATTAGAGGAAGAAATTGATGAGGAAATGGAAAAGAAAAGTGTTGATGTTAAACAAATTAAAGTACAAGTACAGAAGCCTAAAAAGATTGTGACTGAAGATAAGAAACTTCAGTATAGTAATAAAAAACAAATATCAATTTCTTCAGTTAACAAGAAACAGCCCCCTCCTACTTCAAACCATGCCAAAATTCATCTAAGCCAAACAAGAACCAAATCAGGTAACTGCATTTCCTTTTTATGCTTTCTTTGTTTAAAGTTTAGTTCTGAATTCATTTTCAATTTTGTTGCCTTTTCAGTTCCAGTTTCAGATGTAAATCCTAGACAAAATGGCAAATTACAAAGCTTTGGTAAGTTCAATCTCTTAATATGTTCTTTAGAAACTCAATGTGATACTGTATTTATGGTAAACATTTATCTATATCAAACAATTGAATGCAAGACACTTGTCTTTTATAAACACATTTCTCCGTTAAGTGACATGTCTCTTACTTGCTTAGGTTAAATTGTTTAGTTTGGTTAAAATATCGAGTTGGTAGGGGTAAGGATCAAACTACTATGGTTATAATAAGTAATATGTGTCTCACTTTAACAGTTTGTTGCAAAGCACATGTCATGCATTTATCGGTGTAAATACCGGATGCGTGGTAAGTTTTTATCCAAATATTTACCCTGCGACTATTGGCTCTGATTTCCTCTTAAAACATTTCTGCAGTTGACTTAGTGATGTGGAGAAATGTATCAAAATCCACATTAATCTTTGGAATTGGAACCTTTGCTATTATTTCATCTTCATATACTCAAGATCTCAATATCAGGTAATTAGTTCCTTCAAAAATAACAGATCTTTATTCCTTTATCAGATCTGTTAAGTAAAGCATTAATTAATTATGGCTTTTTTACAGCTTCATTGCTGTGCTTTCCTACTTGGGTCTGGTCTATCTTGCTGCAATCTTTCTCTTTAGATCCCTCATTCACAGGTAATATATTGTAAAAGGAATTTAATATATACTGACAATATAAAGAATTTTTATATTATCCGTGCAATTTAATCGTCTATACGTTAGCTCAACCTGATGGTATATAAAGTTATACACTAACACACAACTTAAACTTGTCGTACCATATCTTGAGATTATCCAATAATGCGTTGTCTAACATTTTATTTGATTTTATTTTATCCTTTGTTGGGTAAATAGGAGAGCAAATGATATTGGTGAATCAAGTGAGTATGTAGTAGGGGAAGAAGAAGCAGTGTGGGCACTGAAGTTGATACTTCCTTTCATAAATGAGTTTCTTTTGAAAATCAGAGCCCTTTTTTCCGGTGATCCTGCAACTACAATGAAGGTAAAGAGTTCAAACATTTCCATTGGATTTCATTATCTTCTTATAGTTTTTTAGATCTGAATTCAAATATTTACCAATCTTGTGAAAGTTGTGGGAATTTGACAAATTTTTGCCTCTGGTAGATGGCAGTTCTGCTGTTTCTTTTGGCTCGGTATGGCAGCTCCATAACCATTTGGAAACTGTCCAAATTAGGTAAGTTTTTCTGTAAGTGTTGCATCTGCATTACTTAAAAGTGACTTTTTTTGAATGTTTATTTCAGTCAAAGAAGTATGACTTTTTTGATTTTTTTTCTTGGGAAAAGGTCCGAGTTTGTCATTGTACTATTCGAAATTGCTCAATTTTGCCATCCTTTATACTTTTGGTCGGGGACTCTTATGTTAGCAAATCGTCTTATATTTGTCGTTGCTATTAACGGAAATCTAACGTGAAATGGATGGATTCTACGTGTCCAAATTCTTCACAAAAAAGTCAAAAACTACCCCTCAACTTTTGATTATCCTTATGTTGGAGCTCTATTAAGGGTCAAAAAATAAGACTTATTCCTAACGGCAAGATTAATATTAAACCAAAAGTTTGATGCACGACAAAGTTGCTCAATTTTGAATTGTACACAAGTGAGTTTGATCCTTTTTACTTGTTTTTTTCAGTAGAGAAAAAGAAAGTTGCCAGAAAGGAAATGCAACTTTGAAGTTTTAGCTTCCTTTTAGTAATTCTTCCTAGAATAGGCAAAAATATCATTTTTTGGTAGTATGAAGGGGAATTGGCCCAAAAATTGGAGGGCGTCAAGACGCTGTTGGGCGCCGGGCGCTGACTCAAAGTGTCCCCTGAACCGCGCGAAATGGTGGCCTATTACACAGCTAACTAACTCTGCCTGGGGTGTGGGTACATATTATTCATCGGCGGTCCGGTGTACCCCTACTATACAAAGCTGCCTCCTGATTTTTCCCATTTTGTTTTATTTAAGTACTTTGAGATCAAATTAATTTCCAATCAAATTTATTTAGTAATCTGATCGAAGCCTTTTTAATTATAGCTCCTTATCAATCTTCCAACAAAATGCCAAAATTGAAAAAAAGAAGGATTTTTTTCTGGAATTGAAACTTGCCACTACTTTCTTTTTCCTTTTTTCCAATTTTCTCTAACCATAGCTTGCTCACTATTGTTTATTTCCTGTTTTGCAGGCTTTTTTGGAGTCATGGTCATACCAAAAATTTGCTCTTCTTATTCCACACAGTTAACCTCTTACGGTAAATACGAGTTAATCTCTCATTCTTTTTTATTTTTGTTTACTTTTCCTTGATTAGTTTTAACTTCTTAAACATTCCATGTATTTTGAAGATTAAGATATATTTAAAGATTAAAATATCTCTTTTTAACCAAATTGTTATGAAATGTTTTAGACACCCAGTATATTATATTTAATGAAATATTTTGAGAATTGCAACATTGATTTGAAAGTACTACTTATGTTATTAATTTGTGAAGTTGATGCATATCATTAGGTCAGTTAAAGGTCTGTAACAAGTATAGATTGTTAACTTACAAAACATGGTTAGAGACATGTCACAACAAGTATAGTTAATAAACTGTACCGATACTTTTTATATTGTCAGTGCATATAACTTAAATCCCGCGTTTTGAAACTTATCGGTGATGCAAAATTTTATATGAAGGTACATTTTTGACACGATACGTTAGAGATGCTTGGGAATCATGTAGTCACAAAAAAGCAGTTGGATTTGCAATCTTCACATTAGTTTGGAATTTCTCTTCAATCATTGCCAGAATATGGGCAGGTAACAAATATACATTCTAATTTTTACACAAGAGAGAAAAAAAATCAAATTAAAATATATTTAAGTGAATGATGTTTTGGTAAAACAATGAAAAACCTTATTATATATACTGAGAAATTAACAATTTATTTGTGCAGTGTTCATGTTATATGTGGGATTTAGGTACTATCAACAAACCTTGATTACAGAGGACATTACTATAAAAGCTGATGATTCTTGGCAAGGAAAAATAAGAGAACAGAGACAAGTTGGGAGAAAGTCCAGTTTAATGGAAACAAGAAAACAAAAGAAAGCATTTTAAGTTAATCAATAGCTAATATTATAAATAATAATATTTTTTATTAATACATGAGAGATCATTAACAAGGCTCGTTCATAGATCAGCGCAAAGCTATTAATCCAAGACGAGCGTCTTCTTCATTTTCATCTCCCCTATTTTTCAACCATTATCTTTTAAGATTCTTTTATTCTTACTGTACATATTCAGCCTCTCTACTCCTTCGGGTAGGGGTAAGGTCTGCGTACACACTACCCTCCCCAGACCCCATTAGTGGAATTTTACTGGGTTGTTGTTACTGTACATATAGTTGTTTGACTAAGAAACTGATGTTTTGGAGCATAGCCTCCATTGGCTAATAAAGTTTTATGCAATTAACATTTAATTGCAAAACATTGTTGTTTTGTTGTTGCAATTAACATTTAAATGGAATATTGTTTTAATCTTTTTACTTGCTTTTGGTATGGTGGTAACCTAAGTTCTACTTGGATTTTGTCAAAAATAGATTGAATGCAACAGTGAAGTTCAGCTTGGATTTACATATACACATATGTTACAGTGATTTCCACTGAGCTATTTATTGTTAGTTAATACATTTCCTGTCTCTTTTAGAAATATCAAGTGTATTGTTGTCATTTGACTAGTTGCCTTCAGTGACTGGTTGTATCAATAATGTAAGTTTCTTGTAAATTTTAGAGTAATTTAATATAAAGTTTTTTTTTTCATTTTTTTTCTTAGAAATATTTTTGTTCTGTTTTCAGAGAGAAATATCAGACAACAGAACTAAACAACCAAAATTAGTCCCGAGTCCGTCCGGTAAAGAGAAGATATTGATTTTGTAGAATTTTTTTGACGGACTCTGATTGGCTTGAAATTTCATAGGTCCATAGGTAACGGCCTAGTGATCAATACTCATTGTTTCGTCATGACTTTCGAGTTCATTTTCTGACGTTTTGAGGTCATGCAATACGAATTTTTGATTTTATCTACTTTTTCGTGTGTATTTAGTACATGTGGATTTTGTAGAAATTTTTTGTATAACTCTGATTGACCCGAATTTTCGTAGGTCCATAGAAAACGGCCTAGTGACCAATACTCACTGCTTCGCCATGTCTTTCGAGTATACTTTTTCGTGTGTATTTAGTACATGCGGATTTTGTAGAATTTTTTTGAAGAACTCTTATTGGCCCGAATTTTTGTAGGTCCATAGAAAACGGCCTAGTGACCAATACTCACTGCTCCGCCATGTCTTTCGAGTATATTTTATGGCGTTGCGAGGTTATACAATACGAATTTGTGCTTATATCCATTTTTTCATGTGTATTAGTATACATGCTGATTTTGTAGAATTTTTTTGATGAACTCTGATTGGCCTTAAATTTCGTAGGTCCAAAGGAAACGGCCTAGTGACCAATACTCATCGCTTTGTCATGATTAATGTCGCTTTTTTGCATTTTGAGTTCATTTTATGGCATTTCGAGGTTATGCAACACGGATTTGTGATTATATCCACTTTTTTTTTTGGTGTGTTAGTACATGTTGATTTTGTAGAATTCTTTTGATGACTCCAGATTGGCTTGAAAATTGTAAACTTAGGGACCGATCGCCCAAATTTATGCAGATGGTGTGGACTATTATTATAACATATGAAAATCTGGGAATCGTCCTCAGTTCATATTTTATGGCTCTAAAACTTCAAAAAAAATGAAGAATGATCAATGACGAAATGATGACTATTGTTTATTAGATCGTTTCTTATGGGCCCATAAAATTTTAGGAGATTCAGAGTTGGTTTTCTAAATTCATGTAGATGGTGTTGACTACAGCACACGAAAATCTAGGAATCGTCCGGAATTTCTGTTTTATTGCCCTAAAACGCTAAAAAACGATGAACGGTCATGGTGAAGTGATGACTATTGTTCATTAGGTCGTTTTTATGAATCCGCAAAATTTTTAGGAGATTCAGTGTCAGTCGCTAGAATTTCTCCGATGGCGTTGACTATAGCACATGAAAATTTGGGAATCGTCTTGAATTCCTGTTTTATGGCCTTAAAACGCCGATAAACAAGGAACAATCATGGCTAAGCTATGATTATTGTTCATTAGATCGTTTTTTATGGGCCAAACAATTTTAGAAGATTCGGGGTCGGTCGCCCGAATTCATGAATATGGCAAGGACTAGCACATGAAAATTCGGGAATCATATTGAATTCCTATTTTATGGCTCTAAAACGCCAAAAAATGAGGAACGATCATGGCGAAGCAATGACCATAGTTCATTACATCATTTTTGACGGTCCAACAAAATTTTAGGCGATCCGGTTGAGATCGCCCAGGCTCGTGTAGGAGGCGTGGGCTGTATGTGACACATGAAAATTTTGGAAATCGGGCAAAATTTCAATTTTATGGCCCTAAAATGCAAAATAACGAGTAACGGTCAAGGCGAGGCAGTGACTATTGTTCCTTAGGTCGCTTTTGATGGGCCGGCAAAATTTTAGGCGTTTCGGGTCGGAGCGCCCGGGCCTATGCAGGAGGCGTGGGCTATAGCACACGAAAATTTGGGAATTTGACGGAATTCTATTTTGTATGGCCCTAAAACGCCAAAAACGAGTAATGGTCATGGCGAGGCGATGACTATTGTTCCTTAGGTCATTTTTGATATGCCGGAAACATTTTAGGCGATCTCGGTCCGGTCTCCCGGGTCTATAACACACGAAAATCTGGGAGTCTAACAGAATTCTAGTTTTCATGGACCTAAAATGCCAAAAAACGAGTAATGGTCACGGCGAGGCGATGACTATTGTTCCTTAGGTCGTTTTGGATTGGCCGAAAAAATTTAAGGCGATCTGGGTCCGGTCGCCCAGGCCCACGCCGAAAGCATGGGCTATAGCATACAAAATTTGGGAATCGAGTGGAATTCTAGTTTTTATGGCCTTAAAACGCCAAAAAATGAGGAACGGTCATGGCATGGCGGTGACTATTGTTCCTTAGGTATTTTGATTGACCGGCAATATTTTACGCGATCTTAGTCCGGGCGCTCGGGCCCATGCAGGAGGCGTGAGCTAATGCACATGAAAATCTGGGAATCTAACTTTCAATTTTATGGCCCTCAATGCCAAAAAACGCGTAACAATCATGGTGAGGTGGTGACTATTATTCCTTTGATCGTTTTTGATTGGCTGACAAAATTTTAGGCGATCTGGGTCCGGTTGCCCGGACCCATGCAGAAGCTGTGGGTTATAACACACGAAAATTTGTGAATCGTGCGGTATTCCAGTTTTATAGCCCTAAAACGTCAAAAAATGAGTAACGATCATGGCGAGACAGTGATTATTGTTCCTTAGGTCGTTTTTGATGGCCGACAAAATTTTAGGCGATCTGGGTACGGTCGCATGGGCCCATGCAACAGGTGTGGGCTAATTCCAGTTTTATGGTCCTAAAACACCAAAAACGAGTAACGGTTATGGCGAGGCGGTGGCTATTATTCTTAGATCATTTTTGATGGGCCAGCTAAATTTTAAGCGATCCGGGTCCTGGCGCCCATGCCTATGCAGAAGGCGTGGGCTATAACACCGAAAATCTGAGAATCACACGGAATTCTAGTTTTATGCCTCTAAAATGCCAAAAAAATGATTAACGGTCATAGCGATGCAGTGAATATTATTCCTTAAGTCGTTTTTTTTATAGGTGATCCGGATCCGGTCACCCGGGCCTGTGCATGAGGTGTGGGGTATAGCACACGAAAATCTAAAAATCATGCGGAATTCCAGATGGCCCTAAAACGCCAAAAAACGAGTAACGGTCATGGCGATGCGGTGACTATTGTTCTTAGGTCGTTTTGATGGGCCGACAAAATTTTAGGTGATCCGGATCCAGGCGCCGGGACCATGCAGGACGCGTGAGCTATATCACATGAAAATCAAGGAATCGGGCGGTATTCCAGGTTTTTGGCCCTAAAACACCTAAAAATGAATAATGGTCATAGCGATGGGCCAGCAAAATTTTAGGAGACCCGAGCTTGGTCGCCCGGGCCTATGCAGGACCCGGGCTCATGCAAGCGGCGTGGGCTATAGCACACGAACATCAGAAAATTGGGCGGAATTCCAGTTTTATGGCCCTAAAATGCCAAAAAATGAGATACGGCTATCGCGAGGCAGTGACTATTGTTCCTTAGGCGATCTAGGTCCGGATGTCGAGCCCGTGCAGGAGGTCTGGACTATAGCACACGAAAATCAGGGAATCAGGCGGAATTCTAATTTTTTGACCCTAAAACGCCAAAAACGAGTAATGGTCATAGTGAGGCGGTGAACCTTAAGGTCGTTTTTAATGGGCTGATAAAATTTTAGGTGATCCGGGTTCGGACGCTCGGGCCCATATAGGAGGCATGAGCTATAGCATACGAAAATCTGGGAATTGGGCGGATTTTCAATTGTATGTCCCTAAAACGCCAAAAAACAAGTATAGGTCATGGTGAGGCGGTGACGATTGTTCCCTAGGACATTTTAGATGGATCGAAAATTTTTTAGGCGAGCCGAGTCCTGACGCCCGGGTCCATGTGTGAGGTGTGAGCTATAACATGCGAAAATTTAGGAATCGGGGGAAAATTTCAGTTTTATGCCCTTAAAACACCAAAAAACGAGTAACGATCACGGCGAGACGGTGACTATTGTTCCTTAGATCGTTTATATAGGCCTGCAAAATATTTGGCTATCTGAGTTCGGGCGCCCGGGCCCATGCATGAGGTTTGAGCTATAGCATACTAAAATAAGGGAATCAGACGGAATTCCAATTTCATGGCCCTAAAACGCCAAAAAATGAGTAACGGTCATGGTGAGGCAGTGACTAATGTTCCTTATGTCTTTTTTGATGGGCCGGTAAAATTTTAAGCGATCCGGGTCCGATAACTCGGTCCCATATATGATGCGTAGGTTATAACACACGAAAGTTTGGGAATCGGGCGGAATTCCAGACTTATGGCACTAAAACGCCAAAAAACAAGTAAAGGCCATGGCGAGACGATGACTATTGTTCCTTAGGTCGTTATTTATGGACCAAAAAATTTTTAGGCGATCCGGGTCCGGACGCCTGGGCCCATGAAGGAGGTATGTGCTATTGCACACGAAAATCTGAGAATCGGGCGAAATTCTAGTTTTATGGCCCTAAAACGCCAAAAAATGAGTAACGGTCATACCAAGGTGGTGACTATTGTTCCTTAAGTCATTTTTGATGGACTGACAAAATTTCAGGCTATCCAGGTCCGGTCGCCCGGCCCATGCAGGAGGCATGGGCTATAGCACACGAAAATTAAGGAATCAAGCGCAATTCCAGTTTTATAATTCTAAAACGCCAAAAATCGAGTAATAGTCATGGAGAGGCGGTGACTATTGTTCCTTAGGTCATTTTTGATGGGTCGACAAAATTTTAGGCGATCCGGGTCCAGTCTCTCGGGGCCCATGTAGGAGGCGTGGGCTATAGCACACGAAAATCTGGGAATCGGACGAAATTTCAGTTTAATGGCCCTGAAAAGCCAAAAAAAGGTAACAATGATGGCGAGGCGGTGACTATTATTTCTTAGCTCATTTCTGATCGTGATCCATGCACTCAGGCCGGGGCATGTGCAGGAGACGTTTGCTATAGCACACGAAAATCTGAAGATCGGGCGGAATTCTAGTTTTATAGCCCTAAAACGCCAAAAAACGAATAACGGTCATGACGAGGCAATGACTTTTGTTCCTTAGGTCATTTTTGATGGGCTAGTAAAATTTTAGGTGATCTGGTTACGGGCGCCCATGCCCCTGAAGGAGGCGTGGGCTATAGCACACGAAAATTTGGGAATCGGGCGGAATTCTAGTTTTATGACCTAAAACGCCAAAAAACGAGTAATAGTTATGGCGATGCTGTGACTATTGTTCCTTAGGTCATTTTTTATGGACCGTCAAAATTATAGGCGATCTGCGTCCGGTCGCCTGGACCCATGCAGGAGTCGTAGGCTATAGCACACGAACATTTGGGAATGTGGCGAAATTCTAGCTTTTTGGCCCTAAAGCGCTAAAACAATAAGTAACGGTCATGGCGAGGCGGTGACTATTCTTTCTTAGGTCATTTTTGATAGGCTGACAAAAATTTAAGGCAATTCGGGTCTGGGCGCCCGAGCCCATGCATGAGGCATGAGCTATAACACACGAAAATCTAGAAATCGAGTAATGGTTATGGCGAGGCGCTAACTATTGTTCCTTATGCCATTTTTATGGGCCGATAAAATTTTAGGTGATTCGGTTCAGGTCGCCCGGGCCTGTGCAGAAGGCATGGGCTGTAATACATGAAAATTTTGAAAATCGGGCGGAATTTCAGTTTTATGGCCCTAAAATGCCAAAAATGAGTAACGGTCATGGTGAGGCGGTGACGATTGTTCCTTAGGTCATTTTTGATAGGCCGACATAATTTTAGGCGATCCGGGTATGGTCGCCCGGGCCTATGCAGGAGGCGTAGGCTATAACACACGAAAATTTGAGAATCGAGCGGAATTTCAGTTTTAAGACCCTAAAACGCCAAAGTACGAGTAACTGTCATGGCGAGGCGCTGACTATTGTTCCTTAGATTATTTTTGGTTAGCCGACAAAATTTTAGGTGATCCGAGTCCGGTCGCAAGGGTCCATGCATGAGCCGTGGGCTATAGCACACGAAAATCTTGGAATCGGGCAGAATTTTAGTTTTTTGGCCCTAAAATGCCAAAACACGAGTAACGGTCATGGCGAGGCGGTGAATGTTGTTCCTTAGGTCATTTTTGATGGGCCGGCAAAATTTTAGGCGATTCGGGTTCGGTCACCCGAGCCCATGCAGGAGGCGTGGGCTATAGCACACGAAAATCTAGAAATTGGGTGGAATTCTAGTTTTATGGCCCTAAACTGCCAAAAAACGAGTAACGGTCATGGCGAGGCGGTGACTGTTGTTCCTTAGGTCGTTTTTGATGGGCCGACAAAATTTTAGGCGATCCGGATCTGGTCGCCCGGGCCCATGCAGGAGGCATGGGCTATAGCACATGCAAATCTGGGAATCGAGTGGAATTCCAAATGTATGGCCCTAAAACGCCAAAAAACGAGTCGGTCGTGACAAGGAAGTGACTATTGTTCCATAGGTCAATTTTGATGGGCCGGCAAAATTTTATGTGATTCGTGTCTTGGCGCCCAGGCCCATGAAGGAGCCGTGGGCTATAGAACATGAAAATCTGGGAATCGGGCGGAAATCCACTTTTATGGGTCTAAACCACCAAAACACGAGCAACAGTCATGGCGAGACGGTGATCATTCTTCCTTAGCTCGTTTTTTATGGGCCGACAAAATTCTAGGTTATTCGGGTCCGGTCTTCCGGGCACATTCTGGAGGCGTGAGCTATAGCACGCGAAAATGTGGGAATCAGGCGAAATTCTAGTTTTATGGCCCTAAAACGCCAATAAAGAGTAACGGTCATGGCGAAGCGGTGACTAATCTTCCTTAGGTCATTTTTTATGGGCTGATATTATTTTAGGTAATCTAGGTCTGGTCGCCCAGGCCCGTGCAGGAGGCGTGGATTAGAGCACACGAAAATATGGGAATGAGGCGGAATTCCAAATTTTATGGCCCTAAAATATCAAAAAACGAGTAACAGTCATGGCGAAGCGGTGACTATTGTTCCTTAGGTCGTTTTAGATGGGCCGGCAAAATTTTAGGCTCTGGGTCCAGTCGCCCAGGCCCTTACAATAGGCGTGGGCTATAACACACGAAAATCTGGGAATCGGGCGGAATTTCAGTTTTATGGCCCTAAAATGCTAAAAAACGAGTAACGGTCATGGCGAAGCGGTGACTATTGTTCCTTTAATATAGATTCGTCTTTTGATTAAATATTTTATTATCTAATTGTTCCATGCTTTCTTGTATGATTTGGTGGTTGCAAACACTAGATTAACGCCTAGCACACTTAGTTCTAACTTGGAAAGGTGGAATCGCGTTTAGGTATAAAGCAATTAGCAAGGAATTGGATAGATTAAGGAATTAATCTCCTCTCAATTAATGGAATCAAACTAGGAATAGGGAGATTCTTACTTGGGCATTAACAATTGTATGCATTGAGCTCTAAATAGCTTGGAAAGGGATTTGTGAGTAAAAACTTCTTAGTGTTGGAAAATACTAAGTTGGTATTATTGATATTGTTGTCATAACATATGTTTGATTGATTGGAATCAAATACATCTATACCCATAGCATAACATACACGAAGGATGAGCAACCATAGTGCTTTCTCTCATTGATTACAAAAATAATAACATACCCAGTATTATCCACTACGTGGGGTCTGGGGGTCTCATTGATTACTACTCTCTAATTATTTTCGTATTCTAAGTGTTTGATTAAATTTCGTAGTCATAATTTTAGAAGTAATTGCAGAAAATTATTCTTTTAATTGAAGATTACTTTAAGTTCATTGAATTCACACACTCTTTGACATTCTAGCACACACCATACTCCTCGTGGGATCGACCCCAACCTTGTTGGGTTTATTATTGCAATCGGCCGTACTACTTTCAAATTGAGAGTAGGATTGGACGTGACCAATTTTTGGTGTCGTTACCGGGGAGTACAGTGTTCTTGTGTTACCGTGTTATTGTGTGTTTATTCGAGTTCTTATCTTTTCTTTGTTGTTACTTTGATCCATTTGCTTTTGGTGTAGACTGTTATGGCGGAAGAAGATCTTGGCGCTCTGCCTTTAGGTCCTATCAAGGAAGCACCCCGTGCACGCCGAGCAGCAAATCGAAACCAACGGAACGAACAAGTTCCATCGCTTCAACAAGTTCCACAGGCACCTAGAGCACGACAAGATCCACCAGAAGCGGTGCGAAATCGAGGATATGCTAGTGCGATTGTACCACCAAGGATAGGGGGTATCTTTACAATCACTAGTGTGATGATTAATATGCTTCAAGATAGAGGATATTTCACAGGAGACCCCAATCAAAATGCCAACAAACATCTCAAGCACTTCATCGATGTGTGCCAAATGAACAAGCAACCAAATGTTTACAATTGAGGTTATTTCTGTTCTCATTGAGAGAGAAAGCTTTAGATTGGTTGGAGAGAATGCCAAATCACTCAATTCACTCATGGGACGAACTTGTGAAGAAGTTCTTGGGCAAATATTTTCCACCGGGGAGAATGTCCATATTGAGAGATGAAATTTGGGGTTTAGACAACATCCCACAGAGGCATTACATGAAATATAGGAGAGATATCGTGGAATGGTTAAGGAATATCCAAACAACGACATGACTGACAACATGTTTCTTCAATCATTCTACCGCGGTCTTAATACCACCAATGAGACCTATGTAAACCAATTGGCTGAGGGAAATATAATGAACAAGACGTATCAAGAAGCTGAAGACATATTGGATGAAATGGCCGACACATCAGCGTCTTGGCAATCTAGAGCCAATGTGCCCCAAGAGGATCCATCTATGGTAAACTTGACTAAGCAAATGGAAGCTCAAGGAGAACAAATTGCAGAATTGACAATAGCCTTGAAGCTGCTAGCCAAGAACCAAATGCCAAGGCAAGTTAATGCTATGGACAATGTTCAAGGTCTGGGTTTTAATCAAACAACAATGGGTAACCAATTCTAGGGTCAATAGGGCATTTATTTTGCCCAAGGATCAAATCAAGAAGGTGACTTCCAAGAACAGTGTTACTAAATGCAAAATGAGGGAGTTCAATATGTGGGTAACTATCAAGGAGGTCAACAAAGGTCTAACAATCAAGGACAATGGAGACATGGCAACCAATGGCAAGGGGGAAGTTTGAATTGGTCCAACCAAGGAAATCAAGGCTGGAACAAAATTAATCAAGGAAATCGCAATGGAGGGCCATCTCAGAACTACAACCAACAAAAGCCCTACAACAGTCAAGGGCAATCTTCTGGTGATCCCGAGCTAAGAGGTATAATGGAGAGAATGATTAAAAATCAGGAGCAGTCCGATAAATAAAGGAGAGAAATGAATCAAGTGGTCAGTTCTCATACCACGTCAATCAAGCAGATTTAGAATCAATTGGGACAGTTCATCTCAACTGAATGTGAGGCCACGCAGAGCATTGTCAATTGATATTGTTGCAAATTCAAAGGGAAATGAGGGTATAGGCCACATCTTTGCAATTACCACAAGGAGTGGTAAAGTCCTTAAAGGAAGAACCATTTTTGAGTGAAGATGATTAAGAAGAGGTGATTACACCTCCTAGAGTTGCTGACCCTCCTAAAGTCAATGTTCTGGTAGTAAAGCCAAATGTGGTTGAAGAGATGCGATAAGCACCTAGTTCTCTTTAAGATGTGATTGATATACCTCCCAAATGAAATGAAGTAAACAAAGAAGCAACTAAGGAGGCTCCCAAGTCCTACAAGCAGCTATTTAGGCCACTTCCTCCTTTTCCGCAGAGGTTTTTCAAACAACAGAAAGAGGGACAGTTGCAGAAATTCTATAATATGCTGAACCAGATAACTATTACTATGCCTTTTGTGGAGGCACTTGGGAAAATGCCGGGGTATGCCAAATTCATGAAAAACATGGTCACCAAGAAGAAAAATGTCAACTTTGAGATAGTCAAAGTAATACATCAGTGCAGTGCAATCATTTCACAGGCCGAAGTGAAAAAGATGGAGGATCCGGGGGCATTCACTATCTCTTGTACTATCGGTGTGACAAGCTTTGCCAAAGCATTGTGTGACTTGCGGGCAAGTATTAATCTAATGCTTTATGATGTGTTCAAGAAATTAGGTTTGGGTGATCCAAGGCCTACTTCTATGAAGATTTTTATGGCGGATCGAACTCTGAAAAAGCTGTTGGGGGTCATTGATGACATTCTTGTCAAGGTGGGTCGTTTTTACTTTCCAGCTGACTTTGTGATATTAGATTGTGAAGTGGATAGAGAGGTCCCCATCATACTTGGTAGACCAATTTTGGCTACGGGGCAGGCCATTTGTGATGTGGAAGTAGGAGAACTGAAATTTGCTTGAATGATGAAGAAGAAATCTTCCATATCCAGAAGTCAATGAAGCAATCGCATGACTATGGAGTGATCTTTGTGATTGATACAATAGATGAAATGGTAGATGAGGATATGCAAGAAATGTGTCATGGAAAGATGTGATGATTCATATGCTTTGGATTTATTATTGGTACCAACCGAAGTTGTGAGTTTTGTGCTTGGAATTGGGTTGTGGTTGAGTGCTGAATTTTGTTGTTAGCTTAATTGTCTAGTTGTTTTTATGAGTCTGGCTTGTGTTTTGATTTTCTCGAGGGAAAGCAAAGAGTAAGTTTTGGGGAGTTGATAAGTTGGTATATTTCCCAACTTCTCTTATGCCTTTTAATAGAGTCATGCCCTAGTTGATGTGATTAATGGACTAATTATATTTTGAATGATATAGTTGCAGTTCATGAAGTTGGGTGAGAATTAAGAGATTGAAAATCATCAAAAACCTACAAGAAAAACATCAAATTCAATCCACAACTGAAGAACAAAGCTAAAGAAGCAAAAGTCCATCCTACGGGGGCCACGCAAGTCACCCACGCATTTGGAGAACTAGGAGGCTGGAAGTTTAAGTTCTGGAAGTGGCCACGCATCCTGGGTGGGCCACACATCTTGGCCACGCACTGAAAGCTGAAAAAATAGAGTACTGGGCCATGCATCCTGCGTGGGCCACACAACTTGGCCACGCAAGACCCAACGGGGATAATTTTATCAGCTTTTTAGAAGAGTATAAATAGTATGTTTTAGGTCTTTTTTGACAACTTTTGACAGGGAATATTGTACGAACGGCTATGATCCTTCCTAAGGGTTAACAAGTGACATCACGGTTTCTCAATCTTTTTCTTCTCTATTAGTATCAATGACAAGATTAAAGGATAACTTGATTGTTTCTTCTATTGTCATGTCTAGCTAAACGCATTAGCTAGGGTTGTGAAAATGGAGTGGTGTTATAGCTATGGGTTATTAATATAGATTCATCTTTTGATTAAATATTGTGTTATCTAATTGCTCCATGCTTTCTTGTATGATTTGGTGGTTGTAAACACTAGATTAATGCTTATCACACTTAGTTCTAACTTGGAAAGGTGGAACCGAGTTTAGGTATAAAGTAATTAGCAAGGAATTTGGTAGATTAAGGAATTAATCTCCTCTCAATTAATGGAATCAAACTAGGAATAGGGAGATTCTTACTTGGGCATTAACAATTGTATGCATAGAGCTCTAAATAGCTTGGAAAGGCATTTGTGAGTAAAAACCTCTTAGTGTTGGAAAATATTAAGTTGGTATTATTGATATTGTTGTCATAACACATGTTTGATTGATTAGAATCGAATACATCTACACCCATAGCATAGCGTACATGAAGGGTGAGCAACCCTAGTACTTTCTCTCATTGATTACTATTCTCTAATTATTTTCGCATTCTAAGTGTTTGATTAAATTTCGTAGTCATAATTTTAGAAGTAATTGCAGAAAATCAATCTTTTATTTGAAGATTACTTTAAATTCATTGAATTCACACACACTTTAACATTCTAGCACACACCATACTCTTCGTGGGATCGACCCTAACTTTGTTGGGTTTATTATTGCAATCGACCGTACTACTTTCAAATTGAGAGTAGGATTGGATGTGACCAGGCAATAGCGTGGATAAATACGGAAAGAATCCTTGAGAGTGTTAAATTACCATGAATTACTCTTGTGACAAACTCAATCAATAGTCAACAAAGTAATCTCCTTAAAATAAGGATGTAAGTATGTGAGAATCTGATTGGATGTCGACATCCTTAAAGAAAGGATATCATATTCCTTTCCAATTGAAAGACAGGCAAATAACGTGCTAAGGCAGCATGTTAAATGGATTATTATCTTATGTAATCTACTAATTGTTATTCATACATGGGTGGCCTCCAACTATTTATGTATATCACCAAAAGGCCGCGTGAAGCCACGTACAAAAAAAATAAGTGAAAGAGTGGTTCTCACGCATACTTCAAGTCCGGTCTTCAAAACAAAAATTGACAAGTCTTGAAGTAGGGAGCATTCGTAAACATATGAATTTTATTGAATTAAAGTTCATATTAAATTTGGATAAAATTTAATTTAATACTTCGCTTTTCATTGTGGGACTGGCCACGTAGGATTTTTGTCTAGGGTAGCTAGTGACAATGTTGTATTTTACTACTTCGCTTTTTAGTGCATGTCCTATTTACTAGTTATCGTTTTTGCTTTGCATCTTTCTTCTGCATTTCATGATGTTCCTATTTTTTTTATGATTGTTGTGGTGATACTAATGTTGTCTCCTCTTGTCGTTTTGTCTTTTTGTTTTCTTGAGCCGAGGGTCTTTCGGAAATAGCCTCTCTACTCCTTTGGGGTAGGGGTAAGGTCTGCGTACACACTACCCTCCCCAAACTCCATTAGTAGGATTTTACTGGGTTGTTGTTGTTGTTATATATTAAATTTGGATAAATTTTTAAATTCAAATTAGTTATTTAAGTCTACCATGGATTTAAATTAAAGTCCAACTTTATTTGGGCCAATCCATTTAGTTGGACTCCAAAAGACGAACCCATTTTACTAGCCCAAAGTCCAAATGGCTAGTAGCCTGTCTTAAAGCCCAGGCTCATGACACATGTCAAGTGACGCGGCAATCCAAGTCAAAAGAATGAGCCAATAAAATCATGCCATGTATCAAATGATGTGGCAATCCAAGCCAAATAAATGAGCCAATGAAATCACGACATATGTCAAGAAAGGATGGGCACACCAAATTAAATCAACAACCAATAGAGTTGTGCCAAATGTCTAGATGGTATTGGTCAATTCAAACGAACCAATCAAATCGCAGAGCCACACCACTCCCTACAACTATAAATAAAGGTCTTCATAAAGCTAGAAGACACCAGAAGTGATAATAAGAAGCAAGTAGAGAGCTCGTGGATCAAACACCACAGATTTCTCTACAAGCTACAAGTTCAAGCACTCAAGCTACAAGTTCAAGTTCAAGATCAAGAACGAAGGCAAATTAAATACCAAGGCGTTCCAAATCAAATTACTTGTTCGTGGTCAAATCCAAATCCAAGTTCAAGGAGGAGATTTAAGACCAAGCCTTATAAGCCCTTGAATTAAAATCAAAATCAAGTTCATCAAGATAGTTTACATTCTTGAAGAATCAGAGGAATACAATAGAGATTGTAACACTCAATATTTATTGAAATCAAATACTATATTTGTTACGCAATTTTCCAGTCTTGATTATTTACTTTTCTCGACGCGAAAATTTATTATTACAGCTATAATCATCCTCATCGTCCGCTTCGTGCACCTTCTGTTTTTCCGGCTCGATTGAGGCCGGTATCATTGATTGCTATTTAGTTTCTTTTTCTTTGGTCGGTTCTCTGTTTTTGATGTTTAAACCGCAAGCACCAGGATTACTTCATAGAACATTTCTTTTGCAGACGACTATTCCCCGTAGACTGTTTTGACTCTTCACGGAGTGGGAAATTCGAGCGCCTAATGTAAGGTTGAAGGCACTGATCTCATGCTGTGAACCCATGGCCTTCCGAACAAGGCGTTGTACCTCATATCCCCTTCGATCACGTAGAACTTTGTTTCTTGGGTGGTCCCGACAGTGTTTACCGGTAAAGTTATCTCACCCTTGGCAGTCTCGCATGCCATATTGAATCCGTTCAATACCCGGATCGTCGGTACAATTTGGTCTTACAACCTCAGTTGTTCTACGACCAATGATCGGATGATGTTGGCCGAGCTACATGAATCAATCAACACACGTTTAACCCGAGATTTATTTATAAGTACAAATATTACTAGTGCATCGTTGTGAGGTTGTACGATGCCCTCAGCGTCATCGCCGTTGAACGATATGGCTCCTTCCACGACGTAATCCCGAGTGCGTTTTTCCCTCGTGATAGAAACTTTGATGAGTTTTATCATTGGCCCTTGGGGATATCCACTCCCCCAATGATCATGTTGATCACGTGTTGGGGCTCCTCTTGTTCGACCTATTTGTTGGCGTCCCTGTTTCTGAAGTGGTTTTTGGCTCGCTCGCTTAGGAATTCCCTAAGGTGTCCATTGTTGAACAATCGAGCTACTTCTTGTCTTAACTGTCGACAATCTTCGATCCTATGACTGTGAGTATCGTGGTATTTATACACCGAGCTATGATATCTCTCAGCGGGATCGTACTACAGTAGTCTTGGCCACTTGGTCTCTTTGATACATCCTATGGCTGACACTATGCTTGCAGCGTCTACATTGAAATTATGCTCTGTAATCTCGGTGCTTCCCTACTCCCAAGCGACCTGTCAAACCCGCTCTTGCTCATTAGGCCCCGGCTACCCTGTACAGCTGATATCGATCTTGGACCGGCCTCAGCTCATGACCGATGATTCTTTTAGATCTGTCACTGGTTCTATTAGGATACACGGACCCCGAAGAGGCTCCGAGTTGGCCGTCCTCAACTCTGATCTTCTATTGATACCTGTTGTGGATGTCAGCTCAGGTGACTGCCGGGTATTCCACCAAGTTATGCTTTAACTGCTAAGAAGCCACGAAACTTCGGGGGTTAAGCCCTTGAGTAAATACTTGAACGGCCCAATCATCCGCGACCGAGGGTATATCCATCCATTTCATCTGGAACCTCGACACGAACTCCCTAAGCATCTTGTTATCCTCTGCTTGACCTTGAAAATGTCTGACTTCCTCGTCTCGACCTTGATGGCGCCGACATGGACCTTTATGAAAGCATCTGCAAGCATAGCAAACGAGTCAATAGAATTTGGAGGCAAGTTGTGATACCATATCATTGCTCCCTTAGACAAGGTTTCCCCAATTTTTTCAGCAACACCGACTCAATCGCGTCATCTTACAGGTCATTCCCCTTTATTGCGCATGTATAGGAGGTTACATGCTCATTTGGATCTGTGGTCCCATTATACTTAGGAATATCGGGCATTCGAAACC